CAGGATCGGCTTTGCCATCTCCAGACGTCTGGCCCAGGACGGAGCCCACGTGGTGGTCAGCAGCCGGAAGCAGCAGAACGTGGACCGGGCAGTGGCAGAGCTGCAGGGGGAGGGGCTGAGCGTGTCAGGCACAGTGTGCCACGTGGGGAAGGCTGAGGACCGGGAGCGGCTGGCGGCCTTGGTAAGGAGATGGGCAGGGGACAAGGGCAGTGGGGGGAGTGGTGGTAGAAAGAGGAAGAATGGTTATTTTAAATATATAACCTGATCAGGTAGACAAGCAAACAAGTACTGGAATTAAGGCTAACCATATGCTCAATATTGGTCACTCCAGAGCCCACCATACACCTGAACAGGTTCAGAGATCTGGGCAGAGAGAGATGTTTTGAGTCTGATGAGGAAAGACAGCTCTCCACCCTCACTTCATATGGTCCCCTCCTGGATTTAAAGAGGCATAGCCCCGCGGAAAGCAAACAGGAAACACCTCCCACTGCAGCAGAAAACTTCTTTTGCTCCCTGAATCTGGTTCTCATTGTTCCCTTCTCACTGCAGGCCCTGAGACACTGCGGGGTTGTTGACATCCTGGTGTGTGTGGCAGGGGTCAATCCCTACGTGGGAAGTACCATGGGCAGCAGTGAGCAGGTCTGGGACAAGGTGAGGTCTGGTGACATCAGGTAGGGCTGGGTGGATGTCATCTTCTGTGTGACCCTCTTTCCATCTCAGCTCCCACACACCTCCTCCTCAGACTCACTGGCATAGAACAAGTCCAGGTGCCTGGATCCTGACCCTCGATTCCCCATCTCTGAGATGGAGGTAAGAGTGTCTGCACTCCAGTTCTGGTCCCCACAGTCCATGAGCTCCTACTTTGCTGGGAGAGTCCAACAGAGGACCAAATAATCACAATAAATGTGGGGCACAGAGAAGGGAATGACTCCTTTCCTTCCCTAAAAATGCTTCAGGCTCAAGGCTCAAACCCTGAAATCCAGCTGTATAGTTTCCTAGGGCTGCTGTAACAAAGTACCACAAGCCGGGTGGCTTAACCCACAGAAATGCATTGTTTCACAGTCTTGGAGGTCAGAAAGCATCAGCAGGTTTAGTTCCTCCTGACGGCTGTCAGAGAATCTGTTCTGTGCCACTCCCCTAGCTACTGGTGGTTTGCTGGCAATCTGATGTTACTTGGCTTATAGAAGGAAGCATCACCCTAATCTCTGCTTTCATCTTCACATGATGTTCTCTCTCTCTCTGTGTGTGTGTGTGTGTCCAAACTCCAAACTTGCCCCTTTTAAGACACCATTCATTTTTAATTAGGGCTCATCCTATAACCTCATCTTAACTTTGTCTGCAATGACCCTATTTCCAAATAAAGTCATATTCTGAGATATGGGGGGTTATGACTTTAACATAGAAATTTGGGTAGTACACAGTTCAGTTCATAACACCAGCATTCTCCAGATCAACCAGCCAGTGCCTCCTCAGACCCAGATGGAACATTTTTTTCCAACTGGTGACCTTACAAACACAGGGAGACATCCTGTAGACTCCGAATCTTCTGCCTGCAAAGACAAGCCTGATCCCCATATTCCTGCTTTTTCAGAATGCCTCTCCCATGTATGTCAAAGAAATCCAGCACTCTCCCCACTTCCCGTTGTCAGAAGCCATCACACCCATGTTCTAATGCAGTATGATTGTTAATACAGTGAGAACATGCACTGGACTGAATGTCTTTCCTGCCCCACCTGCATTTGCTCTGATTTCAGATCCTGAATGTCAATGTGAAGGCCCCAGCCCTGCTGCTGAGCCAGCTGCTGCCCTACATGGAGAACAGGGAGTGAGTGTTGGGAAGGGGGGTGGGAAGGAGACATTTAGAGTCAAATATGGAACAGAGGAGGTAGAATAAGAGGAGCCAGATGTTGAGTTAGACCTTCCTTCCAGGCAGCAGGCTTAGCTGAACCAGTAATACAAGAGAAGTGAGAGTTTGACTTTCAGACTCTGGGTCAGCTAAACAAATAAAAGAATTCTACTAACCATTTAGTGTCATTCTCTCATATCTAGAATGCCCAAGGACTCTGGCAAGGACTCTACTAGAAGCACAAGGGATCTACAGACAGAAAGGTCCAGAGTCCCCACAGTTGTCCTGGAATCAGTGAAATGCAAGTGGTTTCTAGAATAGTGAAAGTTTGACTTCATATTTCTAGGTCACTAAAGAGAAAAAAATTCTGTCTTCTTGCATTAATCCCCAATTTCTAGAGTGCCCAGAAATCAGGCAGGGACTCTAATGAAAGAGAGAAATGAAATTTTAATGACAGGAAGGCCCAGAGTTGCCATGACTGTCCTGGAATTGGGGAACTGAAAGTGGCCTCTCTCAGGCTGCATGCAGCAGGTCAGGGCACAAAAGTCCAGGTTGATGACTTTGAGGCACCTCGCAGCCTGTCCATAACAAGAGTAGTGGAGTTTCCAAGTCCCACTCAACTCTCACTTCTCCAATTTCTTTACTCTTGGCCAACCATGTCCTCCATTATCTTCCCCATAGTCCCTGCTTTGTGTGTGTTGCACAGGAAAACCTGTAGAACCATGAGTGAGTGAAAAGAAGAGGTCAGAGACAAAGCTGGACAAGCAGGCTGTTGCTAAATTATGGACAGCCTTGAATATTGTGATAAGGAATCTTGTCATTCAGGAGACAAAGGTGAAAATAATATGATTGTTTGTTATAATTATTTTAGGCATATTTTATCTTCTTTCTAAATGAAAAGAGAGCATGAAGAGAAAACACTTGAGGGACAAAGAAAGCATCTTCATTTAAGAGCCTGTATAAAATGGACACTAAGGGAAAGGCAATGAGTAGGTAGAGGGAAAAAGAGAGGCAGGAGTGCAGATTTCTCAAGAGTACCAAACAGGTTCCAGAAAGGAAATTTTAGTCTACAGTAGCTGATGTGAAAAGAAGGTCAAAAGTAAAGAGGTGAGGTCTGAACAAGGATCATTAGACTTGGTGAATGAAACATTGAGGATCCTTGAGGAAAACTTTTCTAGAGGATTTGGGGGCAAGGTTGTGGGGGAACAAGGAGCTTCCAGTATTAAGATTTCAAAGGACCCTCTGGGAAGTACTTTTATTATTACTCTTAAGCATGCCTGGTATAGAGCACCCTCAAAGTCAGTAAAGAGAACAATAGTCTCTTTAGAACAATAGAACAAAGGCAAATGTTGGCTGTGTTTCATAAAAGTGTTCATATGTTCATACTGGTACTCCTTAATGGATATTGAACATGCAAATGTGACATGAAAACACAAACTTGGTCCTGGCCCCCAGGGTGGTCTAGGACAGAGGAGACAGGCTGAAGGAAGGCACCAGAGGGCTCTAACCTGAACCTAAACTTTTCACTCACTTTCATGGTCCACAGTCTCCACTTCTTTCCTTGCCCCAGATGTGTGTATTTGCCTCATTTGTATGTGGCTCCATGATATTTACCCCATCTTTCTCTTCCCAGGGGAAGCTCTGTGATTCTGGTTTCCTCAGTTGGGGCATACATCCCAGAGGCTGTAAGTATGAACTTCTATGACTCTAGATAAAAAGGAAAGACATAGCCCCATTTGCCAAGAAAAGGGGAGAGGTCCAGGAAGATCCCAGGACAGGCCATTGCTGGTGGGGCACACCTACATGCACATTTGATCAACGGGTATCTAAGATCTTCCTTCTCCAGAAAGGACGTGCTTGGCCGCCTTTTACCCTTTCTTTTTGAGGTTCTCTGTGATCTCTGCACTTGCTGCTGAAGAGATATATTTCTAGACACAGGACTAAAAATTCAATTGAAACTGTCCTCCTCAGTTACTGCATATGCCATCTACTTCCCCTTTTGTTCACAGAAACTAGGGGCTTACAATGTCAGTAAAACAGCCATTCTAGGACTCACCAAGACCCTGGCAGTGGAGCTGGCACCAAAGAATATCCGGGTGAACTGCCTGGTGCCAGGAATCATTGACACAGCCTTCAGCCAAGTGGTGAGGACCAAAGACAACTTCTGTTTCTGCCCCACTGAGTGCCAGGGTGCCTTCCCCTACCAGGCCATGTCCCTCAGAGACCTGGCTCTGTGGACTCTTGTTCTGATGCTCTGGTCCATTGCTGTTGGGATCAGTGGCAGAATCAGGACTTTAGTCCTTTGTGAGGGACAAGCCTAGGGCCCCCCCAAAGCCCCTTCACAAAGGTGTGTGTGATGTGGAGCCCATGTGATTCCATCTGGATGAGCAGCACTAATCTTTTGACTTTTCCCTTAGCTTTTCAAGGGTAAAGGCATTCGGGAGCATGTTCAGGGTCTCTATGGAATACAGAGGTAAGTTGTGGGTGAGGCAGTGTTCTTTGTAGACCTGGGTTAATGTAACTTTAGACCTTCATGATGAATAAAGATCATTACTACCTTTCTGCAGGCAATTACCCATTCCTCTTTCTGAGATTTGAACCCTGGGATGAGTAAAAGTCCCTGCAGAGCCCAAATATCTCCACTTGCAGCCTTTCTCATGACCATGTGGCTCTTGACTTCCCAGCATCCCACAGGAGCCCAGGGCTCATGGGAGGCATCATCACTCACAGCCCTACCTCCTCTTTCCATGCAGAGTGGGTCAGCCTAAGGACTGTTCGGGACTGGTGTCCTTCCTGTGTTCTCCAGATGCCAGCTATATCACTGGTGAGAGCATTGTGGTGGCCGGCTTCTCACCCCGCCTCTGAGGAACATGAGCTCAGAGCTCAGGCTGGTCTCTCATTGTAGAAGGTCCCTGAGACTCTGGGGCCATCTGTTGGGACAACTCTATAAATGATGATCCTGTGCTTCAAATACACACTTTAAGTTCAATGTAATCAGAGTGTGAAACAATAAAGAACATCAGAAAAGATGTCATTAATGTTTTCACTTTTTTTCACCCCTTTCCCACCCTGGGAATTAGGAAACATCCCTAACAGAGCATGGTTACCAGGAGATCAGAGTCCTCAGGGATGAAAGTCTGGGCCACCTCATTAAGGATGAGCAACCTAGACCAGAGGACACGCTAACCAGGGGTGAAAGGAATTTAGAAAGGGTGTAGACTGAGCTCATTTGTAGCTGTAGGCAGTTCCTGGCACACTGACAGTTTCTCAAGCACCTGCACCTCCCAGCACCATGAGAGATTGCTTGGCTGTACACAGAAACAACCCAGGAGTACAAGGGAGTTAATATGAAGAGAGATGACCCTAACCAACAGAGGATGGGAATAGATGGACCAATGCCCAGCCTCCCCACTTGGTTTTTCAGAGTGTCAGGCAAGAATGAGCCCTTACTCACAGTGATCATTTGCACAATTATTTCACCCTTGTCTCACTTTTCCTACTTGTTTCTTGACCTGGGTCAGTTATATAGGCATTGGTTTTACAATAATTACAATAATTAAACACTTCATTTATATTTTATATACTTTTTGTATATATATATTTCTCAATTAAATATTAAAATATAATAGGTGTGAGGACGACTTTGGCTTTGATTCACTGTGATATAAATGAAAGATTTCAAAATTTGAAAAATAATAAATAAGATGACATATAAGTTGGTGGGGAGTATATAGAGTTAGAGTATGCTAGGTTCTTATATTGTCTATGTATCAGTCAGGATCCTAGCAAGAAACCGACAAACTTTTAAACTGAGTAATTTGAGAAGGGTTTCATAAAAGTACTATTTACAAAGCTGTGGACAGGGTTTAAGGAAACCAACAGTGGGGAGCCAGCACCACCTCTAGGCCCTAAGGAGAAGAGGAAGGAACAGATGCAGGAGCTAAAGAAGGTAGCTCTAAGGAAGAGGCCAACTGACAGGAGCCCCAGACTTAGGTGGAGTCCCAGCCCACACATTGTGACCTAGCAGAGAGGAAGTTGGGGAAATAAATACCCAACCAGAGGAGAGGGAGCCAGATGATCAATCTATACCGTTCAGTCTCCTGAGGCACAGAGCAGAGAAAGGAGGGAGGAAACTGGCTATGGACAGGTAAACAGAAGATATCCAGCTACAGTAGGAGGATGGTAAAGTTATTAATTTTAGATTTTGACAGTGAAGCTAATGCATTATAATTTCTAGAAAAACCACTAAATAAAACCAGAGATATATACCAAATTAGCATACAGAGAAAAAGAATGACTTTAAAAAATCAATCCAGCCCGGCAGGGCATGGCTCAGTGGTTGAGCATCGACCTAGGATCCAGGCAATCGGGGTTCGATTCCCGGTCAGGGCACATGCTTGGGTTGTGGGCTCAATCAATGACTCTCTCATCATTGATGTTTCTATCTCTCTCTCTCCCTCTCCTTTCCTCTCTCTGAAATCAATAAAGATATATTAAAAAAAAAAAAAAAAAATCAATCCAGTGTGGTGAAGGCCTGGGGTGAGGCATGGGTTGAGTGGAAGGGGGAAGTGCGGGTAAAATAGGGGACATCTGTAATAATGTCAACAATAAAAAATAAGCTTAAAAATAAAAATAAAAAATCCAAAATACAGTTTAAAAAGAAAATATCAAACACATAGGATAAGTGGAAAGTAAAAAATAAAAGAATGGCTATAAACCCATATATATTAGTATAAATAGACTGAACACTCTACTTAAAAGGAAAAGATTAGCAAACTGGATAAGGAAGGAAGGAATCCAACAATATGCTGTTAGCAATAAACACATATGAAATGTTAAAAATAAAATCTCAAGTATATAAGAAGGTTGAAAGTCAAAGCATGGAAAGGGGTATACATATATTGTGTGGAGAGTCCCCAAGATCACACTCAAACTTAATAATTCACTACACAGACTCACAGGGCTCAGAAAAGTTGTAATACTCATAGTTTATTACAGTGAAGTGACACAGATTAAAATCAGCAAGGGAAAAGGCAAATGGGATAGAGCCTCAGAGCAACCAGGTGCAAGCTTTCAGGGGTCTCTTCATAGTGAAGTCATATGGGAACATGCTTAAATCAAATGGAACATCTCCTCGCAACAATATTGACAATATATGCAAAGTGTTGCCAACAGGGAAGCTCATCCAACCTTTGGTGTCCAGAGTTTTTATTGGGGTTAGTTATGAAGCACTCACGCGACTGATCTTACCTACTCATTCTCCAACCCTCCAGAGATCAAACTAGTACAGTGTGTCCCAAGGCCTCAGACACACGAAAGCACTCTCATCAGGGAAAATATTCCAAGTTTATCCTCCAAGAGGCAGTCATGGGCCAGTGCCAAAAACAGACCTTTCTTTGGAATGTGTAGTTTGACCTCCCAGGCCTCCTGAGTTAACCCCTTCCTGCACACATATAGATGCTAAACAAAAGAAAGAATTTGTAGCAAAAAACATATAATTAGATACAAGGAAGGTAACTTCATTTAAAAAGATTCAACTCAACAGAATGATACGTAAAATTTTAGCTTACAGCCTTGGCAGGATGGCTCAGTTGGTTGGAGCGTTGCCTGTACACCAAAAAGGTTGTGGACTCAATTCCCGGTCAGGGCACATATCTAGGTTTCAGGTTTAATCCCCAGTTGGGGCATGTGCCGGAGCATCGATGTTTCTCTCTCTCTCTCTTCCTTCCTCTCTCTCTAAAAATTAATAAAAACATATCCTCGAGTGAGGGTTAAAAAAATTATTTAGCTTATATATACCTAAAACATAGCTCCAAATACATAAGAGAAACTTTGACAAAAATACAAGAAGAATCAGCAATCATGTTGAAAATGTCCATACACTTTTCTTGGTAATTGATAACATAAGCAGATCAAAAGTCATTATGAATATAGAAGATTTAAATGATGTGATTTAAAAATTTGATTTAATGGTCATGTATAAGGTCATACCCAGCATACACAGAATATACAACAATGCAGCATACACATTATTTTTACAAAAATTGACCATGTTCTAGACCAAAATGTAAGTCTCAAAACCTTTTCAAATTATTAAGATTATATAGATTGTGTTATTGACCACAATGCAACCCAGCTGGAAATCAATAATAATAATAAGAGAATTATACTGTCCTCATGTGTTTGGAAATTAAGGACACACTTCTAAATTACCTTAGTTTGAAGAAGACATTATATAGAAAATAAGAAAATGTTTAGAAATAAATAATAAGTAAAAATGTCACCTAAACTTGCCAAGTGCAATTAAAACAGTGCTTAGTGGGAAAGTTATATCTACCTTGTTTACATTAGAAAAGCCAAAAATTAATGAAATAAGCACCCATCACAAGAAGCCTGAAGAAAATATGTAAAATAAATTGAAATAAAATATAAATAAGAATATACTGAAAATGTGAATGGAAAATAACAAAATAGAAAACATGTACTAGAAAGAACTTAAAAAAATAAGAGTTGGTTCTTTGAAAAGACTCAGTAAAACTGACAAAACTCTGGAGAGAGTGATTAAGAAAAAAGAGATCATGGAAAATAGTTAAAAGCAGGAATAAACAAAAAGGAGTAATAGAGAGGCTTCAGACATTTAAAATATTGAGATATTATGCTAATAAACATGAAAATTTAAGTGGAAAAACTGCTAGAAAAAAGTAATTTTTCAAAGCTGACTCAAGAAGAAAAAGAAAACTAACCAGTCCTATAACCATTAAGGTAATCAAAATTTTCCTGCATAGCCTGGCTTGTGTGGCTCAGCGGTTGAGCATCGACCTATGATACAGGAGATGGGGGTTCGATTCTGGGTCAGGGCACATGCCGGGGTTGTGGGCTCGATCCTTAGTCGGGGCGTGCAAGAGGCAGCCAGCTGATCAATGACTCTCTCATCATTGATGTTTCTATTTCTTTCTCTCCCTCTCCCTTCCTCTCTCTGAAATCAATAAAGATATATATATATTTTTAAATCTTCCTACATAGAAAACCCCAAGTCTAGATAGTTTCACTGATGAGTTCTACAAAAAAGGTGCAAAAAATGATAATTCTGATGTTACTAAATATACTAGAAACAGAAAATGTCGCACATTAAGACTATTTTAAAATATACATATTCTCTTATATTTTCCTCCAGTAGTTTTATTGTTTCATTTTTATGTCAAACAATTTGATGTATGTTCAGTTTATTTAGCTATGAACAATGAAATAGTGATCCAACTTGTTTTTCCTCATCTCTAGCTTCTGGAAGAACTGAAAATAGAAGGGGACTAGGGATTTTTACCTTTAATTTGATATTTCTCTGGACTATTACTTTCTTTTTTTTTTTTAAATAGGTATATATGTCTTTTATAATTTTTAAAACTAATTTTTTTAATGATTCCCATGTTCTTCATAGTCTTTGCCTGAATATGGCTGATCTTGGATTTTACACTCTCCTGGTATAGTTTTTTGGGGTTTTTTTAAGTTTTCCATACCTCCTCTCACATTATGAATCTATTAGTCCTTTGAGTACTGTCATTACTCCTCCTACTAAAGTCAAAACTGATGAGACTTAGAGGAGAGACACCCATAACTTGGGGACTCAAGTAGAGGAGAATGGGCACCAGAGTGCAGACAATGTCCTAAATCAGGAGTGAGAGGTACATGCTATTTCCATGGACATGAAACAAAGATAGAGGTAAGACCCTTGATCAGATCTTTTAAGGGGTGAGCCCAGAAGGTCAACTTTAGCATGGCTGACTTGCTCAGAGGTTGTATTTACTGCAGAAGAAAGATGAGTCCAGGACAACTGAGAAGGCGCACTGTATGACACATAAATTTACCTCTTTTTGATGAAGGAAGCAGCCCCATAAGACTGAGAGTCATGGGAATGGGCACTTGGACTGATCTCAGTAACATTCTCTCTAGTTAAACACCATAAAATACCTGATCCAAGTTAGCTAAGTAGTTTAAAATATGTGAAGTGCTCCAATCAGCCTGAGCTTCAGCA